TGTACCGCCTCATTTTTACTGCTACCTCATTATGCAAATCGTTTGACCAACTCCTTTCTAACGTTAGATATTCTCGGCCTGATGTATGCAATAGCAGTATTGGGATGTCGGCTACCCTCACTGGAAACCCTAAGAGTCTCCACATCATCCTATTTCGTTCACTCAGTGCTGGTGCTAACCGGTGATTGTAAGCTGCGGTGGAAAACGCTTCAACCAAAACCGGATGGCTTCAAAAGTTGCGCGTTAGGCACGCTCACTTTATCGTTTGGTTTACCATCAAGTTCTTCGGTAGGTTTGCTATCAGTCCAAATAGAAACATTTCTGGTATTAAACCTCCTTCATCAATTACTAAATATTTTAATAAATCCTCATTGAAATACTGTTCCCGTACCTGCAATAGCATCCAAATCGTAGGCACTGTGTCGCATATTAACTTCTGGCGTCAAATCTCGGTAAGCGTCTTCAGTGCCTCTCCTTCTTTGTAAGCGTTGCCGTCACGCAAAATGCGTTTTAAGATGTCTCTTTTCACGAACGCGGTCTTTGCTTTCTCGATATCTTCCGAATAAAATGCCTGCAACACCTCTGCTACCCTACACAATTCCCAACGACGTACCTCTGGTGGATGCGGCTCCAGCTTATTTGTCACTGATTGTAAGAATAATACCTCCCCTGCATCAAAATCAAACTCTTTGAGAACATTCTCAGTTATTTCCTGCACCGCCAGGTTAGTGGGAGCTGTTATCATTATGATTCCTTGATTTTCCTGTAAAAGCTTTAATACATAAAGCGAAATGGTATAAGTTTTACCTATACCGGCCGGTGCTTGAACCACCAATCTTGAACCACCAAATTGGTTACAATCCTTGTCCTCCAAGACTCTGAGTATGTGCGCTTGCTCACCAGTTACCTTCCACTTTTCTCTAGCTGTCTGTATTTCCGTATCACCACCTATTTCCGTCTCCTCTTCTGATACATTCATAAACTCAGGTTCGTCCTTCTCTTTATTTAACCGCATTACCCTTTCCAAATGTCCTTTCTACGCATGTGTTGCTGGTCTTCCAACGCTCTGCTCAGTCTCCGACCTGAAAAATCTCTTACCACTGTCTCATATCCGATGTTACTTATCACTGGAAACATCTCTATCCCTGTAACGTCCTCCAACTCCATCAACCTTGATGCCTTTTCTGTCGCAACTAGTACTTGATCGTTATCCATCCTGGCATACAGTGTGATATTCTCAAACTCATTGATCTCGATCTTGGACACTGTCATTTTAATGGGGCGACAGCCTTTCGCGTGCTGTCACGACAAGTTCTGTGATAAAGATTTTCATATGTATTGTGGAGTTTATCTCTATCTCATCTGTCTCGTCATCAAATTTCGTTTAGTTTATTTACCGAAAAACACTTCGATTACTTTTCTTAACTACCACCAAGATCATCACCAAAGTTTTTTTGATAACTCAAGACTTTTGGTCACTAAGTGGACTAGTTTTACGGTTTTAAAGTGTTGCACTAGTTCTTGATCAAGGTTGCCTTACATTACTTAGTCTCTCAGTAGTTCGTACAAACGCAGCCTTCATTACTCCCGTTTTTCTACCTGCAAAAAATACTTCTCAAACTAGTTGTCTGACTGAGTTTATAGAATGAAACTCTGTTTCACAAAATTTTTCCTAACACTGGTCAGTTCGTGGTTGATACTCAACTGGAGCAGACCATTTATAAAAAAGCGGTCGTTTTTACCTATTTCTGTGACGACCCCAAAGGTTTGTTAAAAAGTTATAGTTTTTTTCTGATGGCTCTTTTTCTAAATGTTCCTCTAAATATTCCTTTTGAAAAGACTTTTCTTAGTATAACAGCGTTTGAAATAACCGCAAGAAGTTTGGTTAAAGTTGAAGCTTTGCTAAGTGAAATATCTTGCTACTTCCTCATTAGCAGAGACCAGTTTTCAAATTATATGCTCTCTTTGAAATTATTATAAAAGGCATCGTTTGCAAAAACAGCGAAATTGATCCTCTAACGACCTTTGCACTAATAGGCTAACTTATATAAAATCTAAAATATTTCTTTAGCCGTTTTTTAAAGTTGTTCAACCTCTACGCATTTGGCATAATTTGCAAAATCAAGAACAGTTGCTTGTGAAATTTTTTTCTGCACTGCTGCAACACTGTACTTCGATTTGAAGGAAGCGTTAGATCTGTCAAGAGAAGCTTTCCTTGGAGGGTCATAACTTTGTTTACGCTTTGTCAGTGCTGAAGTTCTTGGCTGGTAAACCATCTTTCACATCTGCATTTGATAGGACCTCATTAAATTCTGCAGTTTAGCGATTTA